CAAAACACGAGGAGGTTTTTCATTTTCTTCATGGCCCGTCAGACTCCTCAAAACCTCTGACGGGCCCCGGCTTTTGATCTTTCTGGACAGGAAGCAATGAAGTGTCCACTCTCACAACAATAAATGCAAAGTCTGCCCAAAAATTCTCCTTTGCCTTTCCTCAGGAGACAACCTTGTGTGTCCAACCTGCATCGGCTCCATCTCAGTTTCTCCAGGATGAGTAGCCTGAACAGGCAAAGGGAGAGGCTGGCTCTTTGGCTTTGGTCTGGATAACTGTTCTGTGGGGGCAGAAACAACAGTCACGTTATTAGAGGCGGGGGCAGAGGAAAATAACGCCAAACTCTTATGTTTGCGGCTGTTTCTGGCCCGAATCCGGTTGTCCAGTTTTATAGTTAATTGGATTAGTTCTTCGAGTGTAGCCGGTTCATCACGGGTAGCCAACTCATCCTTAATATTTTCGTTTAATGCCTCGAAATAAGCACTCTTTAATGCACCCTGGTTCCATCCGGAAGCAGCTGCTTTAACCCGGAAATGTATAGAAAATTCGGCCACAGAAGAATTTCCCTGTTTTAAATGAAGCAGTGCTCGAGAATCAAGGGTTTGGTCAGTGTCTTGGTTGAATACCTGGGAAAGTTCAGAAACGAAATCTGAATAGTGACAGCTTAAGCTTTCATCAGAGGCAAATCTGGCTTGAGCCCAAGCCAGAGCTCTTCCTGTTAACTGGGAAAGGATAGACGTTATTTTCTTGTGGTCCGTGGGAAAACTGGCAGGAGAGTTCTGAAAAATGAGACGACATTGAAATAAAAATCCCTTACAATCAGTTACGTTACCAGAAAACTTCTCTGGGAGACTTGGGCGAAACTCGGATGACGTCACAGCCGGTGACCTCGGCGGAGGAACAGGACCCGGAAATGGTTGGGTTACTGGAGCGGGATTAGCATTACCCACGTAATTAGCGTAGTTTTGAAGCATATGATTATGCATATCAACCAGACGGTACAACTCACGGAGGGTCTGAGTTTGTCCTTGTATTTGGACATCTTGTTCTTGCAATCGGCGGAGGAGATCATCTGCTGGGCCTTGTGTTTGGCCGCAGTGTTCTGTCATGATGGGTATCAGGGAGGCCCAATATGCAGAACACTGACGACACGGATGGAAAGTTTAACAGAGTTTATTGGCAAATTCACACATATAATAAAGACTGATGCAATGGTTCTGGGCTGGGACCGGTTCACTGGCGTCTGTGAGAAAGACAGTTTGGTTAGCGAAGGCTTGGTTGAGACTTGACTGATTGTGTTCAGGTTTGTACCTTGATGAACGTAGAGGAGGCTTTGGGAGCGGAACTGTTGGGTCCGGAGAAAGCTTGGGTTGGCAGAGTCCTTAAGCTGTTTCAGCGTCTTACTTCTAAAGGCTGTTTTGACCTTGGCTTGTGTTTCCAGCTCGGTATCCAGAGCTGCTAGGAAATCCAGAGAGTGAGTCTTCAGGTTTGGCTCGGAGGGCTGGCTCGGCAGGTTAAGCTCTTCCAGAGCTTCACAGGAGAAAGAACAGGAAACCTGGAAGCAGAGACAAAAGGGTTAGAATCCAGGTTGGACTCAAAGGAGACTTGGTTCACTAGGGATCTATGGCTTAAGTGCTAACCAACTGATTAAGACACTGCGGCATCGAGGCAAGGTCTGAAGGCAGCTTAAGTAGTCCAGGTCCTCCAGATGAGATCATCAGCTGCAGGTGTGCAGAGCAGCTCAGCAGGGAGGATCCGGGGCGGACTCTGCTGGAGAAAAGGTGTATTTCTCCAGCTCCCAACACCTCCAGGGTATTCATAGAGTGCCTCTGAATCTACTCTATTCAAATCTTGGTGTGAGCTTTGGGTTGTTTCCCCAATCTGAGATAGGAGCTCTCTGGAGCAGGTTTTCCCTCCAGCTCTCTGCACATTGATGCCTTTATCTTTCCTCTATCCTGACTAGTCCATCAGTTCCTGCTGCTTAAAAGCATCCAGATAATATGATGCTTGCCACCACCATGCGTCACTGTAGTGATAGTACCGTATATGTCTTGTCTATTTCTTGTTTCCAACAGAACTCAATGGGATTTACAAAATGCTAAATAAAACACTACAGGAACGTTTTTTCTTCACGAAACTTTTTTTGGAACGTCATTGAACAGCGCTGACGACACAGTGAGTAGCATATTTTAAAAAAAGAACGTTTAAGGTTGTTTTAAGGACATTATCGGACATGCACTATGGCAGCCATTATGAAGCAGCCAGGGGTGGATTCTAAATGAGCCAAAAAGCAGAGACAGGAGCAATTGTCAAACTTTTGGTGTCGATCATTCGATTTCATCCTGGACAGTACAGAAAATGGGCTTAAAGTGTAAAAAAACGGAATTCTCCTTTAAATTCATTCATTCATAGAAGTCTCATACCTTTCTGGTGTCTGATCTTCTTAACCTTGCCCTCTCCTGCGGTTTAGGGTTCTCTAAACAATTGAAATATCTCAGCATATGCAGTAGTTGTTCAGACATATAAAGCTTGTATTATTCTATATGTCATATACTCAAAGGGATTTCAGGTATTTGTACTTTCAACAGATATATTGCAGTGAATTCAAACAGCTTTCTCATTGAGCTTCCACCATAAAACATGGATAACAGGGGATTAGTTGGGATTCCAAAGCAAATCTCTATAGCTTATTTAACTAAACTGACATAGATGATAACACCTAAGAGTACCAATCTTCCAATGTCTCACTGGTTCAGGCAGAAAGGACAAATGAAGGCTGCAAATCTTGTTTCAAAGTCTTGAACGTGGGAACAAAAGTCCATCATTAAACCAGAAGGATTTTTTTATGTTGGTTTTGATTGCTAACCCCATCAGTTAATGTATTATCCAACAAGCTGTCTTTGCTACCTTAAAAATGCCCTAAGGGGTAAAGCATTTTTTTCCCTTAATTATATTGTCTGCTTGCATGCTCAGTTAAAGTTGCAAAATATGCAACAGAGATGTGGGAAGAGCATGCAATGAACTTTGCCTGAGAAGGTACTGTTTAGGCCTGATGCCAATCATCAGTACATTTTATTTTTGTTTTGGAAAAAAAACTCCACTAAAATGATGTCAAAGATCTAAAGTGAGTCTTAAAATAAGCATGGATACGTGTATGGAAACTGCAGCAGTAAAGCTGCTTACAGTGAAAAACAATGTACACCTTTCTAGTGACATACTTGCTTTGGAAACGTGTAAATATTTTCTTAGTATGCTGACTGCTGTCTTTATATCATGCTATATAGTGGAGTGTACATGACTATATAGCACAACTATAACCGGACTTAACTGGAAGTAAATTATTTTACATGAAGAAGCAAAAATTAAGCTTTTCTAGTCTGGAGAATATCTTTAAAGTTGTGTGTTCCTTTATGCAAATGGAATTTTTAATCCAAGAAGTTATTTTGTCATCTTAGTATTTAACAAACATGTTCTTTTAGATTGATTTTTATTTATTTCTTTATTGTAGGACTGGTTTCTTTCTTTATATGCTGGACTGGTTGTGGCCAGTAAAACTAAAATACAATTCTTTAAAAATACATTTAATAAATCTATATAATCATATTACCCATTACTTTAAAGCAGTCAAAAACAAGCACACTAGTCACTAATGTTCAAATTATCCACCCACTAATTCAAGGGTCAAACATCAGCAGAAGAAGCGCTGGTATAATGGTTTCCTTTAGGTCAGCCTCGCCGTTCTGGACGTCCTCACAGCCACAGCTGTTTACCTCCTCAGGGGATAGCTCTGTAGCTTTTCCTTAATATACCAAACTTTTTGTTGTATATTTTATATCTGATAAAACAGAATGCCTTTCTCCATTAAAAACAGAAAATGAGAAAACATTTTCAAAACAGTCTCACTGAAGTGCATGGAACCAAATATAAACAGACTGTTTTCCAGAGCGAGAGAGGCTGCTCGTGACATGCAAGCAACCATACCTCAGTGATGGAAAAATCATTGTGCGTTACACTGCCATGAAAAGTACTGCCACATATTGCTGCACAAGTTAGCTAAAAGTAAAATGAATTAGAAACATCATGTCAATATCTACAGCATTTTAATTATTCCAGTATTTACCTTTTCCTCTCATCTTTTCTAAAGACAAACAGGTGAATTTAGGGACTTCAGTGGTCTTGTAAGCAGAGAAACAAACAAATCCAGCCTTGAACCATGACACACTGCGACAGGGTGACAAATATTACAAGTAAACCAGAAGAGCTGCTCAGAGGAAATGAGTTGCAGCTAAAGCAGAAAGAAAGATAAGACAGCTGGAGTAGGAAGACTAAAAAACTAGGATGAATTTGTACAGAAATACATAGAAACCGTGGGAAATCAAGCAGATATTACAAGTAAATATAAAATATGAATACCAAAGGTCAGATAGGGACCCACAGCCACTTTCTCCTAGGCCCAGCCTAGGCCATCAGCCCGCCTGTGGAGCATGTGTGTTCTTAATAGTTTAGTTTTAATAATCTTAAATAAACGGCAGGTGAGTGTTTCAATTAACCATCATGCACTGTATTCTTCTAACACCCTGAAAAAGGAAATGCTAATATTTCATTTGCCTGAGGAACACAGTTACCCTCCTGATCTCCAGAGTCATCCAAACTATTTTTTTGTTTGTTTTCCAAAAAAATATTTGCTAGCTTTATGTTAAGGGGAGTTGCATTTATTTTCCAAAGGTGCATGGTTCCAGTCACACATACTGCATTAAACATTTGAAATGTAACAGAAAGAATATCATGGGCCTCCTTGAGACTAACCCTTTGCTCCTCTTGACCTCCTTTAGGTTTTTGTTTGAATAAAATGATTCAACTGTTTTTTTTTTTTTTCCACTGTCTTTTGTTACTGCTTTTGTCAGGCTGTCATGTCGTCAATGAATCAAAAGAAAGTCAGTTGATGTTTTGTCATTAAACTTGTGCAAGCCTGTCTCTGCATAACATTCCGATAGCTCGCACCCATCCAGCATCTACAGTGTTATTAATCCAGGTTCAGAAACCACAGGATATATCCTAATAAAAGACTTAAACTCCACAGATCATAGTCACTCTGCAGCCTTTTTTAGGTTTCTGCTTCTTCTCAAATTATAAGGCATGCTGGGTGGCCTGGGGCGGTGGTGTGCACCACCACATGCACGTTAGTGATCAGCATATATAGAGCCATGGTGAGTTGTCTCCCCAAAGCTGCTTTGCCATGATGGATCTTAAGGTCATCCTGGTGGTTGTCTGCCTGTGTTCTTTGGCCATAACCCTCACTGATGGTAAGAAATGTGACTGTACAAGTCAATTCCAAGAATCCTGATTACAAATCATATTTATCTGATTACTAATGCGATCGAGATGTAGATCAAAGCTTAACTTTCTGTGATGTTTTCTTCCTGTTTTAGCTTTTCGAATTCAAATGAGCTTGCAGCTCTTTTACTTTTTTTTCTTTTTACAAACATTTTTATTTGATTAAATACTGGTTGCAACATGTTAAGATTTAATTTATCCCTCTGTTCCAAGTGAATACAACGTTAAGGCTACAACTGTGCAGAGCAAAACTTTTTTATACGTTTCCTAAAATCATTAATGGATACAAAAATATTTAAACGATATTTATATCAAAACAGAAATTTAATTTATTTTATTACTCATGCAAAGTCCTCAATTCTCTTTTAATGCATTTCACTTATCTGTGTTCTTTTTCTTAGCAGGAATCCCAAAATGCTGCATTAGGACATCAAAGATTCACCCTGCGTGGCTCAAGAAGGCTCAGAGATGGCGGGAGCAGAGTGACAGTGGAGTCTGTGACATTGAGGCTCTTGTGTAAGTACAGCAGATGATAGTGTCGACAAGGCAAACATTAATACTGCAAATGATTTAATATATTATGAGGTCTGCTCTTTTCATTTACTGGGTAATCTGTAAAGATGAAAGAGTCTGAGTGGAGTTTGAGCTTCAGTGTTTCTCATTCTGTGAGCATTATCTTTCAAAGGATCTCAACATTCTACAAACTAGAAAAAAATCAATTTTAATTCTAATTGTTTCAAATTATCTGGTATAACAACTGCCGTTAAAACAACAAAAATACTAAAATGTTATCAACCTTTTTTTTTTATTACAGAGTCTATGTAAAGGGTCGGGGCAAACCGTTTTGTCTTCACCCAAAAATGAGAAGATTCCTGGAGAAGCGTAAAGTGCCCTATGATGGAAAATACTAAGCTGTGGATCCAACACTTTACTCTGTTTTGTTTGGTTTGTTTGTTTTCAATCATTCAGGTTTCTTGGTTTTTGAGAGTTTGGTTTTCACAAGCTCTCTCGGCTGTTTTATATATTAAAACATCAAGGTTCTTCTTCAAACTTCAACTCTATGAGTGACGGAAATAATGTAATATTTTCTGGATTATTGTATATGAAATGAGTGTGGTGGAAATATATGTGAACAGTGTCCAACAAAAAGGTGTCAAATCATATGAACACCAGGATGCGGGATCCTTAAGGTGGTTAAGATGGGTCTGCCAAACCCTCCACTCTTGTATTTAATATTCAACATTTAAACTGCATTTGTAATATAACATAAATCTGTTTCTTTTTTAGTTTAGGTAGCATATATTTGTTACCTTAACATTTATAAACTCAATGTAAAGGCTGTGCTTTAAAATATGACTCATGTTGCTTTTCAGTAACATCTTATCGATATATAACTGGATTTAATCCATTTATTTTGTATTGTATTTTATATTATATTTTTGCAATAAATCATTATTATATGATAACATGGTGTAATGTGTTTTGCCTTGAGTGGGTAACACAGCATACAGTACAACTAAGCTAGCAAAAAGTACAAATAAATATTACAACACGTACATTACAGTAAATATATCTTCTCAAATTATTTTATATCCTTTGGCATAATATATCTTATTGCATCTTTTTCAGCTCAGTGCATCATCTACTCATACATCCTGTATTTTTTTTCCATCTATTTTTCACTTGCTTTATTCCATTATACAAAGCAATGTAGTCACCATGCAGTAAAATAGTTTCTCTCTTTCAAAAAGAGATTTTATGTTTTTTCTTAGATGCACATCAACCTTGTATCTTTCCATGGTGGAGCAAAGGTCAACAGCATCAAAGGAAAAAAATTATCTGGGAAATCTAACTGCATTATTTTCTCTAAAAGTAGCATTACGCTTAAATGATTCAAATGAAAATTACCACGGTTAGGTTTCAGTTTAGATCAAATGGTCCAACTGTAATTTTTTTGGCTTTTGTCCTTGTGGGTGTGTCATTTTGCGGGCTGTCATCCAACATGTCCAAGCTTGTGTTTGGCTTCTGTGTGTCTCACACATCAATCATGCATCAACAGTTTGATCAATTCAAGCAAAGAACTGATGGGATTCACCCTAGTTAAATATGTCCCTTCCATATATAATCACAGCTCTGCAGCCTTTTATTTTTTTTAGAAGTATCTCCTAATTCCAAGCCACGCTGGGTCATGAGAACTGTATATAAAACTCTCAGGTGTCTGCACATGTGTGTGCATGTTGTCTGTCTGTATATATACTGACAGTATTTATGCTGTGAAGGCAGAGTTTCTCCACTCAGTTGCTCTGCCATCATGGATCTGAAGGTGGTGTTTGCGGTTGTCTTACTGAGTGCTTTGGCCATCACTTCTACCCACGGTAAGAACTGTACTTTTCCTTATACTACAATGTATTTATTATAGATTTTTAATCCTTTAAAAACTATTTGTGTAAAAATCTGTTTCAGCATGTAAACATTCAACTGGTCCACTTAATCACCAGCTGCAGGCTATTGCTGCGCAATTAAAACCCTTTGAGTCTATTTTGATTCTCATGGGTTTTTACAATATTCAGAACAACACAACATCCAAGCATTTGTTATATTAACAAAATTATCTTTATTTAGTTTTAAACCCTGCAAAACACACAGTTAGTTTATTTTGTCTTTTACTTAAAAGCATTTTTTTCTTTCAGCTGGTATTCCGAGATGCTGCATCAAAATAACAAAATTTCCACCAAAGCTATTGTTGAAAGCTGTAAGATGGGAGCGGCAGTACAGCTACGGAGCCTGTGATCTCGATGCACTGATGTAAGCACAACAAGTGAACCACTAGAAAAAAATGAGAATTAATCAGAGGACTAGGATGTATACCTGCTCAGTTTTAGACTTTTTTTTAATTGTTCCTTCCTTTTTAAGCAACCTTTGAGTGATCTTAGTTGCTTTAAACATTATTGCCTCTCATTTACTCAGGCTATGATGTCTGCAATCACTACTATAATTGCTATCAGTTAACAAAATGTTTTTAATCTCAACTGAACTGGCATGTACTTTCTTTTTGGTTTCCAGAGTGTATATAAAGAACATGAGAAAGCCTTTGTGTGTGGACCCCAAAATGGAGGATTTTCTGGCAATGCGTAAGAAGAGACAGAAGTACTAAGCAAGGAGAGTCCACCAACATGTAGAAAACAGCTTCTACATCTATCTGTGTTTCTCATTTCTTGTTTTTATTGCTTTTTTGTACTGCAAAGCTCCCCATGTTGTATGAACAGAATATTCAGAGTATTTTACTCCACTTAAAGTAATGGAGAGGATTTTTTTTTTCTTCATATAAATGAATATTTAAACATGCTAGGTTCAGCCTACTGGATGTATTATAACTACCAATACAAAGCAAACCATTTAAAACATGGTGTGGTGTAACTCAATGATAAACTGTTACCTCCTTTTATTCTGAAAATATATTGCTTATATATTAAACAACAAAACTTAATGTTGCTGTGGGTGTATGTCTTGAATTTGTTGTGGAGCATCTTTCTTGTTGAGCTGAGGTACAGCATTTATTGGGGAGTTAATGTTAGTACATACATTCAAAATAAAATAAAAAAAAAGACATAATCGCTCGGATCAGTGTATCTTTTAGCTATTTGATATTGTTTTTAAAATGAGAAACTGAAATGAAAATACAAAGCCTTTCATTTTTTATGAGTCAATTAAAGAATCAGCTAAACTTTGCAAATGGTTCAAATTGTGTTTTATTTCAATTAACAAAAAATAAAACTGTTTCAAACCAGAAACAAAACAAAAAAATCTGTTTATTCTTTTTCTGAGACTGGATGTTGTCACTTCACAACACCACCAGACTTACTGGGGCTACTGTGGCTTTAGCCTAAAATAAAATATCTTTAAAACTCCACTTATTGATTACTTTAGACATACTATAACAAAGCATTTCACCCTCAGAAATCTCAGCACAGAAATGACAAATAAGTCAGAGAGCAAGAAAATGATAAGCAAGGAATATGAGATTTTACACCAAAAAATTGATAAAATGGTCTCTGGTTGTAGACTGAGGACTCAAAAGCAATTCACACTACAATCAATCCTTCACCTATTGACACACATTCACACTCTGATGGTGGTTAGCTACACTGTAGCCAATGCTACCTTTGGACACTGAAGGAAGTGGGGCTGCCATACGATCCACACCACCAGGCCCTCTGACCACCAAAACTAGGCAAGGTGGGGAAGTGTCTTGCCTAAGATTCCTGCCACTGCTCTAACCTGAGATGGTTAGAACAGTGGCAGGAACCAGCAACCCAGCAGCGGCAGAACAAACCCCTTCTTCCTGTGCCATGAATTTTGATTTTTTGATTTTTTTTGCTGCAGAATCAGAATCAACGACACAATGCAAGAGAATGCCTACTGTCTCTACATGCTTATCTAGGAGGTGCGAATCCATTAAAAGTCAATGACTGGGTGCAATCAGATAGGTTTCATTTAATAGTAATCTATTAACAAGTTGGAATCAATGACTAGATGCAATATAGCACATTAAAAAGATGTGTGGGATTTGTTGTGTGGAGTATTGTGTTGATTCACTTCAGTTAAGGTATCGTGTGTTTATTTGTTGTTGTTTTTTTTGCTACGACATTCATACCATTCATTAAAAAAATGTTTTAGAAGCATGAGTCACGTTTTATCTTTTCGGTAATCTTTTGTGTGCCAGCAGGCATGAAGGTGCAATAATTATTAAGCCACACCTAAACTGTCAATTCACACAAGTTTTCCAGCAAAGTTGTATTCTTTCCTGCCAGATATATGAGTCAAAACGCATCAAACAGTCATAAGTTTCACTTTCTATCACTCTGAAACTTTAGTCAGAAATGACTGAAGTCAGTTACTCTGAGTGGTATGATTCATTAAGTCATTTCAATTCTTGCTAAACAGCATTATTTAGAATTAAACTGGAATGAATCAGATATAATGACCGCTAATTTAGACTTAACATAACTGGACAATACAGTTAATTACAACATACTGATGAGTAGACTGGAAATGTAGGTTTGAATTGTCTGGTTCAGGGATACATTGACTTAGATTTTAATCAGCAAACCAGGATTATGCTGTACCGCTTTGCACTTGCAAACCTAAGAAAACAAAAATGGCATGTGGAGTTCCTAAAGGCCCAATTCTTAGAAAACTGATATCCATATCTAAACTTTTGCCTAAGATATTCCTTCCACTGAGACTTTATTTCAAACTATTTTCATTTTAAAAGTACTTTTTTTGATAGTATATTAAACAGGGATCTTTCAATAGAAAAGCAACAAGCTCCGCAGTTCACATCCTTTGATTTTTCTGAATAGTTTGTTTATTCTAACCGTGTATAAATGAGTTCGCTCCCTATCGGTCTCCACCAAGTGACGTCAATTGTTTACCTCGGGCGCGGTGCATCGTGGGAAAACCACCATATTAGGTGGAAAGTCGAGATAACCCACACGCGGCTGTTCTTTCGGCACAATTATTTACCAGAAATGACACGATCGTGTTGTTTGAGAGGCTGCCAGTCCCGGTGTCGTGCCAAGGTAGTTATCCCTGCGAAAATTTGTATCCCCTCGTCGGGAGGGCACACGGAGTAGGAAGAACAACCCGACTTAACTCCGCCTCAATTCCAACGTGCAGAACTTGAAATATGAAAGGTTTTACGTGTATGAAAGTTGAGCTTCACTGTTTTATTCTTTACTTCACATGTTATAGCAGAATATCGCCAGTGATATTGATCTAAAACTAATAATAAAACACAAACGTTTGCTTGAAAGCTGGTCGCTGACAGCAGTGTCTACTCCTCCCTCTGAAAGCAAACAGATCCTTGTTCTTTTCCACACGTTCATTAAAAAAATCTCTCATTGTTTCACAGTGTCCAAATGTTCTCATCCCATTGAAAACTGTTGTAAACCATATACTTGTAATAAA